GGTTATTTCTACTTTTGGATTTTTATGAATGATACTGCTATAAACACCATGCACAAATTACTGTGTGGACATATATTTTCATTTCTCTTGGGTATACTTAGTAGTGAAATTGCTGGATTAGATGGTAACTTCAATGTTTAACATTTTGCAGAAATTTCAGGGTGTTTTCCAAAGTGGCTGAACCATTCATTATACATTTCTAAAACTAGTAAATGAGGGGGTCCTGTTTCTCCACATCTCAAAAACACTTGTTATTATGTGATCTCATTTTATTCTAGCCACCCTACCAGATGTGGAGTGGTGTCTTATGGTTTTGACTTGTATTCCCTGGTGGCTAATGGGGTTTAACATCCTTATAAACATTTGTTGACCATTATTGTATCTTTGGGAAGATGCTTGTCCAGATACTTTGCTGATTTTTTTTTAGAAAATGGGTTATTTATCTTTTTCTTATTGACTATATGGGTTCTTTATATATTTTAGATATAAGTCCTTACCAGATATCTGATTTGCAAAGTATTTTTCTTGTTGTGAAAGTTGTTCTTTCATGTTCTTGATTATATATATATATATATATAAAATATTATTTTGGTGGTGGTGGTACATGAAATTGAACCCTATGCATTATGCATGTTAGGCAAATATCTACCACTAAGCTACCTCTGAATCCCTGGACCTAAGTTTTATTCTAAGAGTTTTCATGGTTTTAGTCCTTATATTTAGGTCTCTGATCCATTTTTGTTTTCTTGTGTTGTGTTTTCGTGTGTTGTGTTTTTTTGTTTTCTTTTTTGTTTTCTTGTGTTGTGTTGTGTTGTGTTGTGTTGTGTTGTATTGTGTGTTGTCCTTATATCTTGAGACAGGGTCTCAGTATGTAACCTAGGCACCCTCAAACACTCAGTCCCCCTACCTCAGCCTCCCAAGTGCTGGGATTTCAGACGTGTGGCACCTGCCTAGCTGCCTAGATGCCACTTTCCTGCCATGGAAGAATGATGGAAGGATGGTAGGGGGAAAAGCCTAGGGTACTCCCTTTAGTCCCTTTATATGGTAGAAGCTTAATGACCTAATTACCCACTAAAAGCCTAAGGGTTACATATGGATTGGTGTTTTGTTTTGTTTTGTTTTGTTTGTTTTGTTTTGCAGTACTAGCCACTGAACCCAGGGCCTTTGCACAGAGCAACATCCCCAGCCACCCCTCCCCCGCTTTTTGAGACAGAGTCTTGTTAAATTGCCCCAGCTGGGCTCAAACTTACAATCCTCCTGAATCAGCTCCCCAGAGTGCTGGAATGCCCAGTGTGTACCACCATGCAGAGCTTCAAAGTTATTTTTATGTATACCACCAGCACAGTGCCTTGATTGCTATTGCTTTGTCGTAATTTTGAAATGGAAATTGTGAGTCCTGTAATGTAACTCTCTACCACACAGGCAGAAGTCCCAGCCGATAATCAGAGGCGAGATAAGGCAAGAAGGAGACTGTCTTTACCCAAGATGGTAAAGTGAAATGTAAGCAAAGGTCATTGTAACTTAGAAAGTATTTCGTGAGTCACATAATACATCCTGGAGAAATCACTGGTTATTTTTTTATATGAGTTTTGCATCTTGAAGTCTCCTAGAATGTATTGAACGTGTACTGAACACCTGGCTGCCAGCATGTGGTGCTACTGGGAGGAACCTTTAGGATTTGGGGCCTCACAGGAAGAAGCTGTGTCCCTGGGGGGTGCCCTGGGAGAAACTGGGACACCTTGGCCCCTTCCTGTTTCTCCCTTCTTGGCCACCACAAGGAAACCAGCAATTTGTTTTTCTAGAGAAATAGACAGGCCTGACTTCCAGCCTTTGTCATCCTCCATCCAAGCTGTGTGATCTGCACAGATCCTCTGCTCCGAGCTGCAGCTTCCTCCTCCACCCTTGAGAGTAAGTCTGCCTCCCTCACAGCGAGGTCGCGAGGATGAAATGAAGAGGTGCTTGTCACGCACCCCACCAGGGAGCTCATGGCTCTGTCTTCCCCAGGACCATCCTTCTGACAGGGAAACAGTGTCTGCCAGGGATTTGGGGAATAAGACCCAAAAGCAAAGACAGACAGAAAGCCCATGCGTGAAGCAGGGTGGAGTGGTGCACGTTGTAATTCCAGCTACTCTGGTGACTGAGGCAGGGGGATTGCAAGTTCAAAGCCAGCGTGAGCAACTTAGCAAAACCCTGTCTCAAATCAAAACAAAAAAATTGAAAGTGCTGGGGTGGAGCTCAGTGGTAGGCCACTTGCCTAGCATGGGTGAGACCCGGGCTCTAGGACAGCACTGTGGATGAGAAGCTAGATGTTTTTCTTGCGTAGAAGCTTTTTTGAATGTTACCAAACTATAATATAAGGACGCTCATACTGGAGATTTGAGATTTCATGCAAATTGTGTGGAAGTTGAACCTGTCCAGGGAGAGAAGATGGACTGAGTCTGGGCCATATACAGCACTCTCGAATAAGGAATAGGAGGGGGAAGGTACTGAGTCCTCAAGGAAGTGCTGTGCCTCCCAGGCGGCTGTGTCTGCCCGCGCATGCGCTGTTAAAATCCTGGCCGGCTTCCTAGGTCAGCATCTCCCTGGATCTAAGGCGGTTGGTTACCCACCCGACTCTGTCATCAGGTGTCCTAGGGCATGGTTATGGAAGTCTCGCCTGTGGGGTAATGAGGAGGAACCCATGGAGTCCTGGGGTTGGGGCCATGGTCAGTTTAATCCAGGTGCAGGAAGGAGCAAGGCCTGTTCACTTCCTGTGAGAAGCAGCAGCTGTGGAGCCTGTGGTGCTGGCGATGGGCATGTGGACATGTAGGTCCGCCTGATGGGGACGGAGACTTGGCCCACATCTCTCCTGGACTTCGCTCCTGAACAACCTCAGGGATCCGCTTCTGGGCTTTGAAGGTGGCTTTACAAAGTTGCACATTGACACCTCTTTCTGGTGGATTTCCCCCACCTGATCTTTACAATTCCCCCATTCACTCTTACCCTCCAGACAAATCTGCTAACAACAGAAGGTGTTTTCTCCTTTCCCCTTAGCCTGACGGCCAGTCAAACACAGGACCTAAGCAACTAGTGAATGAAGAGCGGTGCCTCCTCCTAAGAGACTCCAACCCTTCCAGAAAGTGTCTTTCTGCTATAGCAAATAAAAGGGGAAAATGAGATTCTGTATTAAGAAAAACTGTACACAGTATCTTGCTACACACACTTTTTTTTACTTTTTTCTTTTTTTTTTTTTTTTTTGTCTTTCTGAGACAGGGTGTCTATTCAGGGAACTATGCAGTTCAGGCTGGTCTTGAACTCACTTTGTACCCAGGCTGGCCTCGAAATCTCAGTGATCCCCCTGCCTCAGCCTCCCAAGTGCAGGCATTACCGGTGTGCACCACCAAGCCTGGCTACATATATATTTTAAAGTTTGCTGAGATGATATATTATACATACTCTTGTTTCTTATTTATTTAGCATTATGCTTTTAATTTTTTGATATCAAATACAAGCATCATGTTTATCAGTTGCATAATTGACCATTTCATAATTTTTTTTAACCAGTCCTATCTCCAATCCAGTGGTCCTTGTTGTGTGCAAGACCACCTGGCAGGGCTGGGACAGAGCTCAGCAGTACAACACCTGCCTAGTATACATGAGGCCCTGGGTTCCATCCAAGCATCACAAAAAAATAAAAATAAACGCTATTATATAAAAATTTAGTATTAAATATTTTAAATAAACACTACTTGACAGAATAGAACAAGATGGATTTTAGCTATAGGTTTTTTGTTTTAGTTTTGTTTTGTTTTTGTTTTTTGAGACAGGGTCTCACTATGTAGTTCAAGCTGGCCTTGAAATCACAGTGATCCTTCTGCCTCAGCCTCCCCAGTGCTGGGATTATAGGTATGTGCCACCACACCTAGCTCCTCGCTAGTTTTTGAAAAACACAATCTTTTTTGTTCTCATTTGGCTTTTTTTTTGTTTTTGGTGGTACTGGGGATTAAACCCAGGGCCTTGTGCATGCTAAGCGCCCTGCCACTGAGCTACACCCCCGGCCCAAAGGGCACAGTCTTCATCTCAAGCTTCACAACATCCACCAAAGCAGGAATTATTTGAAGGCTATCACCCCACTTATTCTGAGGTGCTTTTTGCTTTGTTTTATTTTTTAAGACAGGAACTCATTGTGTAGACCAGGATAGCCTCAAATTTGTGGTCCTTCTGCCTCAGCCTCTCAAGCCCTGGGATTACAGATGCAAGCCACCCTACCCAGCTCATTCTGAAGTACTCTTTAATCCCCTGCCCAATTCAGAGCTGGGAGCCAGGGCCACATCCTGTTGCCGGTCACCGTGGTTTGGTGTCAAGCCTTGTGGCCCTGTTATAACAAGTACTCAGTCAGAGGATGTCTCTGCCAAAAGCACTGACTCTTCACCCGGTCCACACATGTCCAGGGGGTAACTAAAAAAAAGAATACATCCGAGCATGTCTGCCTTCATTTTGTATCCTTACTTCCTTTCCTGCCTTGAGCCTTGAGCAAAGCTGATAATCCTCCTCCTTCAAGACCGAAGGCAGCAAGATAGAAATAAAGGATTTTCAACATTTGCAGAGACATCGTCATGAACAGACTGTCAACTACGGGCTTTTACAGTGTCCTACGGTAGATCAGTTGGTGCCTAAGATTCCTGTCACTGCCCTACACCTGAAGGAACGTGCGCCATCTTGCTTCTCTGATGCGTCCTTTACTCTGACAAGTCATTCTGTTCTGCAGGGGGCTGGGGATTTAGCTCAGCGGCAAAGCACCTGCCTGGCAAGCGCAAGGTCATGAGTTCGGTTCCTGGTACTGGAGAAAAACAAAAAAACAAACAAAAAAACAAACAAACAAAAAAAACATTCTGTTCTGCAGACCTCCCAGACCCCGGGATCAGTACCCCCGAAGACAGGGCTGAGAATGCTTAATCTCCCTTGTCTTCTCAAGACAGTGATGCTGAATAAATTCCTCTCCTCACCATTGCTTCTTTCAGAATGAATGGCTGAACCTGGCATGTTGAGACACCCGGAGCTCAGCCCCCGCCAGCCTAGGACTCCAGCAACACCACAGAAATGCTAGAACTCTCCGCCCAGTGGAAGTGACCGCCTTGTCTCCACCAGGACAGTGATGAGGGCACTGTGGTGAGCCCACAGTGCATCTCTTCTTAGGAGAAGCTCCTGTGTTCTGTTGGATGAATCTGTGTAAATCTGTGTCTGGTTTGGCTACTGAGAATATGGGAGAATTCACAGTACTTGAATAGAATAAAAACCTATTTTTGGCCTAATCCTTTTGCTTGTTTTATGTCTGTCCCACTGTTGCTTTCTTGGGATGATCTTGTGCTTTACATAGCTCTGCCCAGCACCTTAAGTCTTTTCTGGAAGGATGCAAAGTAACCCTGGAGGGACTGAGTGCTCTTGAGAAAGTTACTCACTGCAGCCGAACTGCTCCATCTCCGCTGACCTTGGAAGCTAACCAGTGTCAGGGCATTCACCTGCCCTCCACCTCAGTTTCCTCCTCCATAAAAGGGAATACCAGCATCTCCCACAGCACTGATGAAGATTATTTGGCAAAGCACACATGATGACCCCTGACTTGTGGCTGGGTCAGAGGTAAGTTTGTAAAAGTATTTCAAAGTAATTAAAAAGAAAGCATTGCAAACATTCTCCTGCTACTGGTGTCCAGGCTTGTGTAGAACTTACTGCAGATGAAATCACTGGGTCAAAGAGTGCAAATGTTTCAAAAGCTGGGTGCTGATTTCCATGTCCACTGGAGGGAAAATGAGCTCATTTTCATGCAGCTGTAGCATGCCTTTACCAAGGTCAAATTCTCATGCTTTAAAAATTCCTTGCTAACTTGACAGGTGAGAAAGCAGTGTCACCTTGTTTGCATCTCCACATCCATTCTGTTGGCGACTGGAAACCTTTGACCAAAAGCACTACATTTATTTTGTTACTTATATAATTTCTCTTTCTCTCCATTTCTTGCAGTATTTCTATTGAGGTCTTTGTGTTTTCCTTTAATGTTTTAAATAAGATGAGGAACTCTTTTTTAAAATATGTTTTTTGAGACAGGATCTCGCTATGTAGCCCAGACTGGCCTTGAACTCCTGACCCACTTGCTGGGATGACAGGTGTGAGTCTCCAGCAAGGGACCTTCATTTTTTCTGTCACTAGTCCTCTGCTGAGAGAAGGCCAGGGTACAAGGGCTTGAGAGGAGCATTAGTCACAGAGTAGGGTGGAAAAAAGAGTTACCAGAGACAAACAGACGACCACTTCAGCTTGTGGTCCTGCCCAGAGCGAGCTGCCATCGTATCAAACGAGAACAGATGCATAGTTCCAAAAGCAAAACACACTAAGCACAGATAACAGAACCTCTGGTGAAATCTTACTGTCTCCTCTTGTCCTAAATCTTAAGAGATGATCAGTTCCAGAAATACAGTCTTTAATTGAAATAGAGCTCCTTGAATTACAAAGTAATTTTAAGACCATACTCAAACACTTCTCTGTCGCAAAGACTGTTTGCAGAAGAAGTAATTATCTTGGTAGTCATGGAAACCTAGCTAATGCCATGACTACAAACCAGCTTGCGCAGATAATTTGTAGTAAGCCTAGTCAGACTAGTTTGTCTACTAAAAGCATTTTTAAAATGCTTTCTCTCATTGATGGCGAAGGGAAATTATATGCTTTGGCACCACACCTCAGTTTCTTGGGCTTTATTGATGTTTTGGCTTCTTTGGTCCTTTTAAAAAAATTGAGTAAATGTAAAGCCATGCCCTAATAGCTCTTTAATTTCTCCTGATAAAGTCCCTCGTACAGCAGCCTATTTTTATGAAGATAACAAGTTACTCAAAGGTGCGGTCACCAGCCCATGGTCCCCTACACAAACCAGAATAATAGCTGCGCAAAGCCCACACTCAGCTTACTGAATGTGCAGCTAGAGTCTGTGCATATCAGAGGAGAACCTACAAGTTCTTGGTGGCACATTTGGTAAGCAGATTTCATTCCAGTGTCCTTTTTTCAACTTTTTAAAACAACATAATTGGAATGCTACTCCGAGCTAGACCCCATTCCAAGTTTTTTACATATGTTAATTTATTTAGTCCCTAGAACAACCCCAGGAGATTCGGGGTCATCATCATCATCATCATCATCATCATCCTATTTTACAGGTGGAAAAACAAAGGCATGAAAAGCTTATGTACCTTGCCCAAGGCCTCACAGCTCGACAGTTGAAATGATGTCCATCAACTGTTAATATAACCTTCTTTCCTATGCTGTGTATTCCTCTTGCCCCAATTCCTTCTGCATCCTCCTCCATCCCAATGGGTAACTACGAGTTCTCTGCAGAGATGCTGTCGTGGACACACAGGGGACAAATAGTCAGTCACAAGAGGAATTTGTGGGGGCTGGGGATTTAGCTCAGCGGCAAAAGCGCCTGCCTGGGAAGCGCAAGGTCGTGAGTTCGGTTCCTGGTACCGGAGGAAAAAAAAAAAAAAAAAAAAGAGGAATTTGTGTCTCCAGTGGCCATGGTAAAGTCACGACCCCATTGGCTTCAGTTTTATCATCAGATGAGAATGACAGTGATTCCTCCTTGAACTCAAAGGTGGACATAAAAATCAAGTGTGAAGGTAGAAAGGAAAGCCCTCTGGAAGAGCATATATCTTGAAGTAGCTCCAGTGACTTTTCATGTCTGGCCTGCTGGGAGTCGTGAGGCCTTGCTGAGCCCAGGTGTGAAGGCGGGGTGTGCGTTCTGATGGGCTCCGGGCAACACACACTGGGCCATGACTGTTCCAGCTCTGAGCTGCGAGCTGCTCACACGTGTCACTCCTTGTGCCCAGCAGCTCTCCAGGGTCGCCAGGTGGATCCTCCCCAACCTGCTCGTGGAAAGCCTGCTGCTGGCCACACTCGCAGCCCAGGGCAGACGTGTTGGGGTGTTGCATTGTGCAACCACGGCTACGCAGAGGATGAGAACGGTTACTCAGAGACGGGACTTAGTTCAGTCACCGAGAGGACCCAGAGGCGCTGCTACCCTAGCGTGAGAGAGCTTTCAGAGAAACAGCCAAAAGGGGAGACCTCTGAAGCTGTTTATTTGTAACTCGAGGACATGCGAACAAAGATGCAGAAGACAAGCATTTGTGATGTAGTGTGTGGAGCTTTGGTCAGGGCACAGGACCAAAATGGCGTGGTGGGTTACGTGACACGTGTAGGCAATCCTACGGGGCAGAGAGGACACAGCCACCAAAGCAAACGTCTCTGAACACAAACTTAATTCTTCTGACTGTTGCTGGGCAGATCCCGCTCTAAACTCTAGCCATGCATCCCGGCAGCCTGGGAACTGTTGTTCCGAGGGCCCTTCCTTATTGCACTCAAATTCAGTTACAGTGGTACCTCAGTTCACAAACGTAATGCTTTCCGTGATTCTGATCGTAAACCAAATTGGATGAGAACTGAATCAAGTTTCTGATAAGGTCAACAATAAACCTAACCACTGAATTTGATTTGCTACTCGTTCAGTTTGGTTTGTGACCAGAATTGTGGAAATAATTAAGTTCATGAACCAAGATACCACTGTACTCCTTTGACCAGCATCTCCCCACAGGGGTGGACCCACCTCCACACAGACACTCAGGATCACAACCCGTGTCCCCAAAATGGGTGGCTCTAATGCAGCCCAAGTCATGCCCTGGTGAGCTCAGTGAGGAGATAATGCGACGATTCCCTTGGCTGGGAGCCGCGTCTGGAGTTGGGGCAGCCTGAGACGTCACTAGCACATTGGTCACATCTAGCTTTCCTCTTTGCAGTGGGGTGAAATGAGGGAGTCCTCACTGTTTGGACAGTCACTCTAGAGAAAGCTTCACCTGCCTTCCATCAGACCAAGAGAACAGAGAGACCTTAATAAAAAGGTGGGAGACCTGGACAGTCTCCAAAGCAGGCCCCCAGCTCATGCTACAAGCAACAAAGGAAGCCACATTAAGGCATGAGCAGCATGGGAAGAGCCAAGGGAAAGATGTGCTGTTGGGTTTTGTTTGTTTGTAGTTTTTTGTTTTTCGTTTTTTGTTTTTTTGTTTTTTTGGGTTTTTTTTTGTTTGTTTTTCTCCGGTACCGGGAACCTAACTCACGACCTTGCGCTTGCCAGGCAGGCGCTTTTGCCACTGAGTTAAATCCCCAGCCCTGTATATTTTTGTTACATGTCTTCAAAAATCACCCTTGGAGCAGATTCTTCAAAGAAAAATCAGAATGGACATTTCAGGAATTGCTAGACAGATCAGGAAACGGCAAGGGCCTGAGGGCAAGCCTTCCAGACTGAGTGTATATAATAAGACTGAACACACAGGACCCCAGAAAGACAGCTGGGAGGATGTGGGGAGGTGGGAGATGGAAGGCAGAACTCCTACCATAAGACTCCCAGTGGATTTCCAAAAACCTCTTTCTCACTTCAGGACCAGAAATTCTGTTACTCATCTCCAAGACAAAAATAAAGAAATCTCATCTTTTGATTGCTTACAGGTAGAATCCTAATGAAATGAGAAAAAAACAAAGAAAATGTGGTATATATACATAATGGAGTACTATCCAGCCATGAAGAAGTGTAAGCTTGAATCATGTGTAGTGTCTTAGTTACTTTTCTCTTGCTGCGACAAAATACCTGACACCCAGAATGAGGGAAGGAAGAGTTCATTTAGCTCACAGCTTGTGGAGGTTTCAGTCCATACTTGGCTGGCACCAAAACAGACTGGCACATGGCAGAGGGCAACAGTTCATGGTGGCAGAAAGCAGCAAAAGCAGCAAGAGCAAAAGGAAAGAGTAGCAGAGAGCAAGCCTCTTTCCCTCCCTTGTATTGTATACAGGCTACTCGCCCCAGGGCAGGTGTAGCATTCACCGCTGTAACCCCAACATTGGATCATGGACCAACCATAAATTCTAGAAGCCTGCCCCATGACTACATGAGGCTTTGCGGGGAAGGGGGGAAGGGGGGACGGGACATCTGGACACAAACCATAACATTCTGCCCCTGGCCTCCCCAAAGACTCATATATGTCCCTTGATGCAAAAAGCATTTTGGTCCATCTCCTAAGAGTTGCCAAAGCCCTGACACTCAGCATTGCTGAAAAGTCTAAATTCCAAGTCTCCTCCAAGACATAAGGCAAACTCTTAGCTGTGAGACCCTGTACAAAAGAAAAGTTAAACACTTCCAACATTAAATGGCACAAGATAAACTTACCATTACAGTAGGTACAATCAGGGATACAAAGCATTGGACCAAAGCAAATCCAAAATCCAGCAG